TTTATTTTGTGTAAAAAGTTTTGCACTTCAAGAAAAACAAAAAAACTATCTTAGCCAATTTTTATTTGAGAAAATTTAGTTTCGCATGTAAATGCTACTCATCACGCAAGCCACATAAAGGCATTCTCTCGTTTTGCGTGTTTGAGTTGTCCTCGCAACAAAGTCGACTCAGAAACAACCCTTACTGCCTTTCAAAGTGAGGAAATGGCTAGAGACACTAAGCCCATACGGTAAGCCATACCTTATCACAGCATTGAAAAATTTTGACTTTTGTAGTTCAGGTACAGCTGCCAAAAGTCTAAATATCAGTGTACCGAGTCACATCTCAGCGTTATAAGCCTTACAATTTAACCGGTAAATTGTTGTAGTATGCCCCGAGATGTCTAACATTTGAGAGTGCTTTTTACTCATCTATGGTAGAAAAAAGCCTAAATACATCCGTTCCTCGAGACGTTTCTCAAGGTGCATTTAAATGCAAACACTAAGTTTTTCGTTTGCTCTCGAGGTAGAAAGCAATGGCCAAAACTTAATAACGACCAGCTGAAGCGATAAAAAAAAATGACCGGTTCCTCCTTCCCATGAAGACGTGAAAAGATGAGTACTCTTCTCCAAGTTTTTGTAAAAAAACCAGGATATCTTACAGTTAAACATACGTGGGAATGCTACAACAGCATGGTTTAGACCACGTATTCCCCAGTTTTAACACGCAATCATCATGGGAAAGAACGAAAGGGTGAAATGTAAAATTGGGTACAATCACAGGTATTTGTACCGTGTTGATCACATAATAAAAATTACTAATTATAGATTAGATGATCATCTACAAAAGAAAATTACACTAAATCACACACATACAATCAGATTACTAATTTTAGATTCATTATAACGTAATCATAGAATATACCAGAAACTTTATACACAATCATGTTTATTTACAAAAAATAAATATAAATAAATTATTTACAAAAATTATATTTAAAATACTAAATTATTTTCAGCAAATCATTATAGTCCAACAGATAAATATAACTAAAATTCTTGTTTAAAACTTCTATTGTATACTCAAAATCCTCATCGTATTGCTTTCTCCTCTAGAGCAATAAATTAAATGCACCCGCTTTGCTGTAATACTATATCGCATCGTGAAAGAGATTATGGTAACTATGGATATGTGCATCCAAGAATGAAAAGTACATCTTGAATTTTTCATACTTTTCAGAGTCTTCTTTCCTTACATCGTCAATGTATTTTTTATATCTTGTGTAAAATTTCAATTCAAGAACAGAGAATTGATTCTCAAATTCAACTATCGGTAAGGGAGTTTTAAAAGAATCTTCTTTATCGTTGGTTGACTTTGTGACCAAGACTCAACTTTTTCGCATATATCGTCCCAACTATCTTCTTGATTTTTGGGTTTCTTGAAGCATTTTAAGAGTTTTTTAAAGAATTTCATGTTGTGTGTTGTTTTTGTAAAATTCAGAGTGAATTGGGTTGTTCCGTCAAAATTCTTACCGTTAAATAAACTTTTCTTTTGCAAATCTTGCAAATTATATTTGTCATCACGATTACTAATTGGTTCTTTACGCATTTAATCTGTTTATTTTGGCTTCTTTTAAACCGGTTTTATTAATCCCACAATTATAAAAAAATATATAAAGGCTTTAAATTACTCAGTTAATTTTTAATTAATAGTTTTACAACAAAGGTGAGAGGGACTCCAATCCGTGTTTTGTTTGGTCATTTGTTTTCCTTATATCATGCTAACTCTCACTTTTGCAATCGTTTGTTATTAATTGACTGATCAACTAATCGACCAATTCAGATTATTACACAGTTCAAGTTGGTCGCAAGAGTGGTATTTACTACACTTGGGACGAATGTAAAGCGCAAGTGTGTAAATATTCCAAACTTGCGATATAAGAAATTTTACAGTTTTAAACAAGCGCAAACTTAATAAAAAGGAAATTTTACAAAACAATCCAGATAAGCTTCAAGTGTGGATGAATAATTGTATTTTTATTAAAAATAAATAATAAAATAAAATAAAACAAAATAAAATTTATTTGTTAAAAAAATGTTTCTGAGATATGATGAAAATGAGATGTGTAGTTGGATTTTTGCAAGTTTACTTGCAAAAATATTACAACATCGAGGCATTCATCATATCATAGGAAACCCACAACGTCTGAAGAGAGAGAGAAGGGAAAGAGGGAGATTAATAACAAACGATTGCACCGATTTTGTCGATGTTTGTCACAATGATTTGGGGACTAGACGGGGTCGTGGCCGTTTCAACGATGTCATCATTCGATGACATCAACGACTCGGGCATCCCCATATCAGCGTACAAACTGAGGCAAAATCGATTCAATTTACATTAATTCACAGATAAATTTGGTTTTAATTCAATAAATTTTATTAAAAATAAGAAAATAAATATAGATTACAGTGTAATTTTCATTGTTCAAGATGTGTTTGAAGCTGAAAATTTTAGTTTCAAACACATCGTGAACAATGAAAATCAATCAGAAAACAAACAGCCCAAAGCTATTAATTTTCTTTACATTTCTCTTTTTTTAATCTTAGTTGCAAGCAGTTCATCTGCAATTTTATATACATTTTCAACTGCTCTATTAACATTTTCATTATATGTATCTATTCTAAAATTCGTCTCAACTTCTCTTCCCAAAAGATCAACATTCAAGTAATGAACATTTTGCGTATAATGAATATAAAACCCAAATAAAAT